TCTCAGCTTTAGGTGGCATGGCTGCAGAAATTTGAAATACCTGCCAAACACTGCAACTTATTTAGAAGTCAGAAAAATTAGCCATGCTGTTTTATTAAGTAACCCACAATAATATTACATACAGAATCTAAGTTAATACAGAAATGTTGGAGAGTAAGTGAATAGTAGTCAAGAAATTCAAATACATGATTCCCACCATTATCATAAACATCTGCCTCCCTGATTCCTATGTTGTAATTGAATTACTAGAGAGTCGTAACTAGAATTCTTAATGAGTATTGGCAATATGTCTGAGTTAGTTAAAATGTTAAGTTTCTTGACATTTATGTTATGTGCTCAACTGTGACAATGCAGGCACTGAATTTTTCCCCTTCAAACTGGAAAAAGAAAATTCCGCAACCTGCAGGGCAAGTTGTAAGGCTCGCCTGTTTACTCAGGCTTTTGCCCGAGGAGGGAACTGGGGAGAGACATTAAATAGCACTCAGCAAAGTTAGTGTGTTTCTCAAGCATGCTTTGTGGAGCGTACAGGTTAATGTCCAGAGACTGAAAGGGACAATGAAAGGAGATAAAAAAGTAACTATACAATATTCATGTTTATTTAAACGTGTAATAATTGTTGTGAGCAGGCAGCGCATTGAAATGCATTGGAATTTTGCCCAAAATATTGGAAGAAAAAGTTAATGTGCTACAATGAGAGTGCAGATGAGAGACACAAAGCAGTGTCACTCTAATATTAGATCTGTCAGCCTGATTTGTGTCCATTAGTATTTGTATTAGGGTAAGTGCTTACTGACTTAGGCACTGGGTTGTGCTGAGCCCCAATTGTGCTGGACCCTATACAAAACATATAGTAAGGGGCAGTCCCTACCACCAAGACTTAATATAGACAGAAAAGATAGAAAAAGAGTTGAAGAGGAAATTTTGGAACAGAGAGACGTTAGTACCATTCCAGTGCTCTAGACACTGAACCACACTGCCTCTGCTTTTAAGTTGAAATGCCACCGCCTACCTGATGTTTGATAGCATCATATAACAACTGTCTCCCAGAAGGTTTATCAAAGTCTCCAACAATCCAAAAAGTAACTGGTCTAACAAAAGAATCATCTGTAAAAGAATAAAAATGTGACACTTGGGGGAAAAAAAGAAGCTTCTGATTATCATCACATTGGCATTACACTGGAAAACATACACATGCAGGGTTTGACAAAAAGGAAAGGTCTACAAGGAAAGATTCAGATGAAGTCCAGCAGTGATACTTGTATGTATATTGAAAAGTGGTATTACTATTAGGTTAGGATTGATTATCTTGGAGGGACATGCATCATTATGATTCTAAACTTATTTGACTACTTGGTAAATTCAGAAATTATAAGTAACCTAAGAACCTGCAAGTAACCTATGATTTCTCACTAGAGTACACACATGCTTTTTTCATCCTTCTGAAGTGGTAGATTACAGAATCTGGTTTTTTTCCAGAGATATAAAGAAATAAAAACACATGCAGACAGTTTTTCCTACTACCTGCAGGTTCTAGGCCAGCATATTATAACATCAGAAAATCCCCAAATAACCTAAACATGTTTAAGTAATAACCCAAGAAAGGGAAACTGCTAAAGCTTGAGTTACCATAGATCTCCTTGGAGGACATTCCTGGATATAGGTAAAAGTGGAAGAAAAGGAAAATGTCATTATCAATTTCTATAAAAAAATGCACAAGTATAAAGGAGCTAGCTGTGCAGCATGGTATATGCAATTATCATGTTACCAAACAGCTAAAATTGAGAATACATGAGCAAGCATTGTTTGCCAGCAACACTATATAAAACTTGGGACTTCTTTTTTAAATGAGTGCAAAATATTATATACAACAGTGACCCTACAACAGAATTTGAGGAAAGCACTGGAATCAAAACTCCAATTTTTGCAAAAAGTGGCGTATGATCTAGATGTGGCCAGCTATTGCTTTTGTATCTCACTGTGGGTACATCTACACAGCAGATGGGAGGGTAATTCCCAGCTCAGTTAAACGTACACAGGCTAGCTCTGCTCAAGTCAGAGTGCTAAAAATAGCAATGTGAGAATGGGCAGCAGCTCAGTCTGCCTGCCTGAGTGTGAATCCAGGAGCTCAGGTGGGATTGTAATCAGGTGGCTACCACTGCCATGCTGCTATTTTTAACTGGCTAACTCAAGCAGAGCTAGTACTCTCATGCAGAGGTGACCAATGCCCTGAAGGAAAGGAAACCAGGGGTTGAGGAGCAGGCAGAGTGAGGTCATCTGGCTTCAGGAATTAAAATCTAGGGGGACGCTTCACATGGTCAGAATTAGGGATGTAAGCGACTAGTTGACTACCTGATAACCATAGGCTTACCAGATAGTCAAGCAGTCATGTGGCTAGTTGCTTCGCCCACCCCTTGCTGCCTCTATCAGAGAGAGGCAGAGGGGGGTAAGGGAAGAAGAGGAAGGAAGGCAGAGCCAGTGCAGGAGGTAGCTGACTGAAACTGTCCCCGCTCGCCCCATGTTCCAACTGCAGCTCTTTGACCTTTGCTACATTTCAAAAGCAGAACATACTTGCCCGTGTTCGGAACGTACTTGCCCCATGTTCCCCATTGCCCTTCTGCCTTTTAAATATAGTGAGAGCCATGAGCAGCTCTTATTACATTTAAAAGGCTGAGGTGCAGCCAGGATAGTGAGTGCCCCATCTCCCCCTTATCAACTACGTGATTAGCTGATTAATCAAAATTTAACATCTCTAGTCAGAATGGATAAGGAGGAGGAGTGAACTCAGATGTTGGTCAAATTCAGGATGGCCAAAGAGGGGCAGAATTTATGACTCTAAAGCAAAGGCATATACCTGTGAATGAGACAAACCAGCTGCAGTCACTCCCAGAATCTGACAGAGCATGACAATGGAACCAGCCTTGAGGTAATCCCCAATTAACAATTAGATGATTCCAACATGACACTGCAAAACCCATCGACTAAAGTTGGGACTTACAACTATAAAAGTGGGATGAAGCTTTGGGTTCAATCCTGCAATACCACGGCACATAGAATCATAATCAAGATTTATGTGTTGCTTATAAATATAACAAAATGACCCATCTAGGGGAGCATGTGACCCCTCCTGCCTTCTTCCACATGTCACCTATGCTTTCATGTCTACTTGAGCTGGAAATCACTCTCCCAGCTGCTGTGTAGACACTCCCTAAGCACAAGTTCAATACCATTGCAGTGAAGAATACCAACAGGTGAGTCAGCAAAACTTGGGCTTTTCCACTATTTAGAAAAGAAACATGCCACATTATTCTGCGTAATCTAATACTAGCTATCCAGTACTCTGAATAACTTGAGGAGCAGCAAGCCAAAAATTGTGAATTAAGCTGGGACAGCTCAAAAACATAATGCCTCCATAAGCAGAAGGTGTCCAGATAGGTGCTGAAATCAGCAGACAACAGAAAAGAGGATTCTACATGAAGCTGATCAGATCTAAAATAATTCTAGCTGTGAAGGGTCGACTGGTCATCTACCTTGTTAGTAAATAGTTATGCTGTCATTCCCTCTCCATGGGAATGTCTGCTTCTGTACAGATCCAGACTGCACACTATAACAGAAAAGGTACTTTCAAATGAGAGTTTGGAATTGTAGTGTATATTTAAGAGTTACAAATGTTATATTAATCTAGGCTCTTTGGCTCACTACCATATGGCAGAGAGATTCATGGGTTAATTGCTCTTCTAATGAGTGGCATGTTTTCACCTGAAATACTGAGTTCAGTTCTGGTCAGCACATCTTCAAAATCTGACTTCAGTAGAATGCTCAGTGCTTTGCAGGACTGGATCTATGTTAACGTAAGCACACCAGGAATACAATGGTGCTGCAAGAATAGTTTGGTGGTAGAAGACAATCACAGAAGGCTACAGTTGATTCAGGAGGGTAAAAAGAGGCAGACCCAGGGGAAAAAGGAGGACAAGTATTTCTGTGTACCTGAGAAGGATGTTAGTGACTGGCTCTCTTTGCTAAACAGCTCAGGAACCGAGAGACAGAATCTTCACTGCCTAATCTTATCTGAATCTGCTCTCTGCCTTACTACTCCCACTTCACCTCTTACAGTCAGTCTCTTGCATCTATAATAGTGATAGAAATGTAGCCGTGTTAGTCTGGTGTAGCTAAAACAAAATACAGGACTATGTAGCACTTTAAAGACTAACAAGATGGTTTATTAGATGATGAGCTTTTGTGGGCCAGACCCACTTCCTCAGATCAAATAGTGGAAGAAAATAGTCACAGCCATATATACCAAAGGATACAATTAAAAAAAAGTGAACACATTTGAAAAGGACAAGTCACATTTCAATGTGATTTGTCCTTTTCATATGTGTTCACTTTTTTTTTAATTGTATCCTTTGGTATATATGGCTGTGACTATTTTCTTCCACTATTTGATCTGAGGAAGTGGGTCTGGCCCACAAAAGCTCATCATCTAATAAACCATCTTGTTAGTCTTTAAAGTGCTACATAGTCCTGTATTTTGTTCTTGCATCTATGACACTGTTACCTATGCCTGACAGTCTCCCATTTCCTGTCAAGCCTCAACCTCTTCCAGCCCGTAAGCCAGCTCTTAAGGAAGTCTTTCCTTTGACGTCCTCCTCACCAGTTCTCTGATTTTATTTCCTTCCCTGAGAAGATCCTCACTTCAGGTAAGATTGCTTTCCTCCGTATAAGTGCTTGCAGTCTGTAAAGCTCCACGTAAACAGACTGATTTTAAAATTTATATCACTATAGTGCCCCAGAGGTCCCAACCAGGGTCAAGGCATGGCTGTATTAGGAGCTGCACAAACACATTAGAAGATTTCATCATGATTATTACCTTTCTTTGTTAAGTAGGTCATACTATTGGCTACAGCTGCTGTTTTATCTTTGGAATCCAAGACAGTAAATCTAGCAAAATCATCCACAAAAAAGTTATCTGCAGGAAAAAGATACAATATTAGGTGCAGAAACTGACAATATCATTAGAATAAATAAATTAGTAACATTCACTAATGTTTAAGCTGCACATTTACCCTAATATCATCATGTTTTTATATTTCATGTCTAATGTTAATGGCTAATATATTAATAAATGTCACTGACACAATATACACCAAAAACTATGTATCATTCTCACTCTGCAAAGTACAACTGAAACCAGAGGTGTACGGTCCCATTCAACTTAAGTCTCTGTGCAAAAAAAAAAAAAAAAATTTAAATCCATACTGTTACTACTCCCCAAACCGTTCAGGTAAGATCTCACATGTGCATCTGTAACTATTAATATTCTACATAATCTTTCTGCATGGGGTATACTGCTTAGTATTTTAACAGTACAAAGTTTCACTGAAATCTGTACTATAGCAAATCGTAAGTATTTCAAGGAGATGTCATCAGTTTCTCTTCAAGTGTACTCTGATGGATAAGACAGCCAGACCTTGGTGTTTTAAGTGAAGGAGGTAGTCCAGCATCAAGGGACCCATCACCTGCTTGGGGAGGGGACCTTATCAAGGCACCACAGGGGGAACCTCTTCTATTTGACTACATAGGCAGCCCTGAGCACTGGCGTTTGGGGCGATTTAGCCATGGAGCTTCCATGCTGTGAGGTGGAGTGACTCAGGTTTGGGTGGCACAGCCTGCCAAACTCCTGTGTCAACAGGTTGGGAACCAGGGGGAGCGTATTGGGCTTGGCCACCAAGAGGGACAGCAGTGTGGTGAACCAATGGTGCTTTGATCACGCCGGTACCATCAGCATGACCACCGCTTTGTCCTGTTGAATTTTGAGGAGGACCCTAGATGTCAATGGCTCTGGGGGGTGGGGAAACCGTACAGTTGCTGCTCCGTCCATGACAGGTGGAAAGCATCCAGCAGGAACTGAATGAAGCAGAATTGCAGGCACTTCCTGTTCAAGTGAGTTGCAATCAGGTTTACCTGGACATGACCCCACTCTCGGAAGATGAAGAGACCCACGTCTGCTCCCAGGAGAAAAAGGACTGACTGAGGCAAGCTGTAAGGTCATTCTGTGTTCCTGGAAGGTACGATGCTTGTAGGGGAGTATTATGAGAAATACAAAGGTCTCATAAAACGATGGCCTCCTGGCACAGGAGAGAGAGGAGTGAGCCCACCACATCAAACAATATAAAACATCCCTGTGGTGTTGACTGTCATTACCAGGACATATTTGCCTTGCAGGTGAAGCAGGAACACCTGGCAAACAAACCAGATTGCCCTGGGTTCCCGAATATTGTTATGCAAACACATGTCCGTGCAAGACCAGAAGCCCTGTGAACACATGTTCAGATGCGCACCCCATCCTGTGTCTGAGGGGTCTGTCACCAGGGTGATCTCTAGCTGCGGGCCCACAAATGGGACCCCTGCACACACTATCTGGGCCTGCATCCACCAGTCGAGGGACTGCAGGGTTGCCGGCAGCATGGTGACCATGCAGTCAAGGAGGTCCCTGCAGGATGTGAACACAGATGCCTGCCACGCTTGGAGCAGGCACAGGCATAGGTGGGCATGGCACAGGACATAAGTGCAAGAGGCCATGTGCCCAAGAAACCTCATGCAGTTGCCTACCATTGTAATTTGGCATTATTGCCGCACAGAGATGAGGCCTGCCATGGTACTCGGGTATGGACATTGTTGCCCGAGCAGAACTGAAAAGGGCCCCAATGAACTTAATTCTTTGCATAAGGATGAGAGTGGATTTTGGCACATTAAGGATTAGGCCCAGACAGAAAAATGTGGCCTTGACCAAGTCCATATGCTGGAGCACCTGCTCTCTTGACTTGCCCTGGATCAAACAGTCGTTCAAGTATGGGAGACTTGCACCCAGTTCAGTTGTAGAAATGCTGCCACCACCACCACCATGCACTTGGTGAAGACTTGAAGTGCCAGAGCCAGACCAAAGGGCAATACCATGAACTGGTAATATCTGTTTGCCACTACAAAACACAGGAGCCGGGATAATGTGAAGATACAAGTCCTTGAGATTGAGGGCAGCGTACCACTCCCCTGGATCTGGGAAGGTATAATGGAGACCAGGGAGACCATGCGAAACTGCTTTCTTATGAAGGTGTTTAAGTTCCTGAGGGCCAGGATGTGGCACGGACCCCCTCTGGCCTTGAGAATTAGGAAGTATCAGGAATAAAACCCTCAGTCCCTGAAGTGAGACAGAGAAGGCTCCTAAGATGAGGAGTGAATGTAGTTCCTGGAGGAATTACTTGTGAGAAGAGTCGCTGAAGGAGGACAGGGAAGGGGGTTGGTGAGAAGGGAGGGAGCAGAACTAGACAGAGTATCTCAGTCCTATCGTGCTCAGGAACCAACAGTCTGAGGTAATTTGAATCCAGGCATGTTAAAAGTAGGACATTTGGTTCCCAAAGGGAGGGAAGGGACCCATGACAGTATCTGGTTCAGGCACACCCTCAAAAGTGAGGCTTAGCCCTGAGAGGCACCCTGGCACTGCATGGAAGAGGAGTGAAGAGGTCCCCCAGGTATTACTCCTGCCCCCGTGGCATCCCTGATCTTGTCTGGAAGGGCCAGAGAAGCAGCATGTGGGCTGTTGTGGCCTAAAATGCCAGTGCTGGGGATGGAGGGAGGAGCGGGGGCTTCTGGTCCCTTGGGATTTTAAAATGACCCTCGAATATTTTAGGCTATGTAAGTGGGAATCCATTTTCTCCACAAAGAGGTCCGAACTATCAAAGGGCAGATCTTGTATTGTGTGGTGAACCTCAGGTGGGAGACAAGAAACCTGAATCTACGAACTGTGGCACATAGCAATGCCTATGGCCATAGTACAGGCAGCCGAGTCTGCGGAGTCCAGAGCTGCCTAGAGAGCTGTCTTGGAAACTGTGCACTCCTTCTGCACCACTGCCACAAACTCCTGCCTCGCCTCTGTGGACAGTAGCTCCTGAAATTTGGAGAGAACATTCCAGGAGGTAAAGTTATAGCTGCTGAGGAGTGTCTGTTGGATGGGAACACGGAGCTGAAAACCTCTAGTGAAATACATTGTCTGTCCAGAAAAGTCCAGCACCTTAGCTTCCTTATTCTTAGGTTCAGGCCCCACTGCCCCGACGCTCCTTGAGACTGATCGTGTCCACCACAAGGGTACCAGGTGTTTGTAACCCCACTGCGGCACAAAGTAGCACGTCTCCGCTCTGTTGGCCCTGGGTGCGATCGAGGCAAGTCTGCCAGAGCACCTTACTGGATGTCTGTATGGACTTGATAATTGGGAGGGCAACTCGAGCTGGGTCCTCTGGTGAGAGAACATCCACAACAGGATATGATTCCTCCACCACTTCCTCAGCTTGGAGGCTAAGATTTTAAGTCACCCACCAAAGAAGGTCGTGGGGGAGGCCTGTCACCGCCTTGTCTGGAGACGACAATGACAAACCAATGGGAGTACAGGATTATCCTACAGGGTCCTCCATAATTTCTACCTCCAGCAATTGCTCTGGTGGGGCCTGTCATGAGTGTGGGTGCCACGACACCTGGTTGCCTGTGGGTCTGGCACCAGAGGGAGGCTGGCATCACAGAGGAGGACAATGGTGGTGCCCAAGTGAACAGTGCCATGGAAGCTGCCCTAGAAGGCAATCCATGCCCTTGGTTCTTGTGGTAGGCTCGCAGAGTCCAAAAGGGCCACTGCATTGGCACCTGCCATGAGAGGCCAAGAGTGCACCTGTGCTGCCAAGGAGTCTTGGTGCCAGTGCCGGGAAGAGTGCCTGGGTGGTGCCACGAGCAAGAGCGGAACCTAGAATTCTGGGACACAAAGGACTTTGTGTCAGAACCCGATGCATAGTCCGACATTGCCCACAGGGGAGCAGAGCCCAACAATGCCAGTGAATGGTGCCTGGCCAAGTTCTCTTGCTGGCTCTTGGCTTGCCATGGTGCCTTGGCACTGGAAAGAGGCCCAGCACCAAGGGAGTCCTGAGGGGGGACCCGCATATGGCACCCTAGCTACAGTCATTGGTGTTGACAGTGCGGTTGCCTGTAGCACTACAGATATCGATACAGCAGGAGCAAACTGCAGCGCTGGGGGTGTTGACAGTGCGGTTGCCTGTAGCACTACAGATATCGATGCAGCAGGAGCTAACCGCAGCGCTGGGACAGGTCCAGAAGTTGGTGCTATGCACAATGTGGGGTTTGGTGCCACTGTTACCACTGGTACCATCTATTGTCTTGGTGCTGTTCATACAGCATTGGTGCCATGAGCTCAATGAGGTCCCAAGCTGCCTCAAAAGTCTGTGGTGTTGAGGGCAGGTCAAGGTCTTCCACCACCACAGGCTCCAGAGAGTCCACTGACACTGGATTTAATGGTTACGCAGGCTCCAGAGAGTCCACTGACACTGGATTAAATGGCCACACCCTGGATAACAGAGTCAATGGTGTCTGGGCCGAGATGCCCAGCTTGGGCAGGCTCAGTGCCATGAGGGCTGCCTCCGCAATCTTGCCAGACCTCCTGGAGAGAGAGCAGTTCCAATCTATCTTTTTCTTCTTCTTAGGCACTGGCAAGCGAGAACAATGCTGCACCGAGGAACCCACCTCGTACAAAGGAGACTAGGACTGGCGATCCCATTGCTTATCCTGGTGGGTAACAAAACCTCCTGCACTGAAGCCAGTGCGCTATGCACCGAGGAAGTTGAAGCTGCGTCATGGGGTTGAGGCCTAAGTGACAACTCCATCAGAAGGTGTTTAAGCCGCTGATCTCGTTCTAATTTGCTTTGTGGCTTAAACCCCGTGCAGATACTGCGCTTATCTTGCTGATGGCTTTCTCCAAGGCACTGTAGACATGCAGCATACGGGTTGCCTCTGGGCATACGCTTCCTGCATTTAGTGCCTTATTTGAAATCCTGGGGCCAATGTATGCCCCACAGGCTTTAGTAAACAAGCAGAGAGGGAAACCCCCACAGAGCAACTATCATGAACTAACAGTAACACTCTACATTACAAAGAACTTGTGGAACAAAACTCGAGAGAAGAACTACTTGCAAAGCAGGAAGTCAAAGCTCCAATGACTGGCACTGACAGAAAGGAACAGAAACAGGAGTCGGGTCGGCAGTGAGGCGTCACCACAGGGGACACTACAGCCAACCCGATAGGTACCACTAGGGAAAAGTCTTCCAATGACTGTGCATGCAGCACACGCACACACCCAATCACTCGAAGAAGAATGGGGAATTACTATGAAAAATCTGACACAGATACAGGTTGGACTTCCCTGGTCTGGCTCCCTTGGGACCAGACCTGTCGCAAACAAGGGAGTTTTCTGGACCACAGGAAGTTTGGAAGGGGGTAGAGCCCAGCCTCCCCACTGGGCTCCTCTTCTCAGCCACCAGGGTGTAGTAAGATGAAGGCCTAAAACATAAGCCCATTTAGTAGAGGCCTGGTGTGAGGCCTGAAGCCTAGCTAACAATGGACAAAACTTGGCTAACATAAAGCAAAGCTAAGCTGTGAAGAAGAGGCAGGACCTCCTGCACCCATGCTGGCTGCAGGCTCTGGTGTCCTGAAAGCTCCACTGCCCCGCTCGCTGGCTCCGCTCCAAGCCTCTGGCAACCTCTGCTGCTGGGGCACTCTAGTCCCACAACATCCATGGGCCTGTTGGACCAGAGAGTCCTGGACCACAGAGGTTCAACCTATATAAATGTTTACGCTATTCCTGGACACAGCGTGTCGTCTTAGTACCAAGTGGGCTGGTATCTCTCCTCTCCTGCTATTAATACATTTTGTAATTGTGCATTCCACTGAGAAATACCAATTCGTGTAAATAAATCTTGTCTGTATAACTATTTATTGCAATTGACCATGTCCCTTACTAGTGGCAGTTAGATCTAGGTACTCTCTGTCAGCCATCAAGATCCTTGAGTTGATTCTTGGAACAACATTAGGCTGGTTCATGATGTATTCAACCACATCTTGATCACTTGACAATTCACCCTGAAAGAAAGATGGAAGAAAAGTTGCTGCATAAGCCACTGTTCTTACAAATACGTTTTTATTAAATTGCTTGAAAACAAACTATTCATGTGAATTAAGAAACTCAATTATATGATTTTTTTTAAGGAACTCGCCTTGAGGAACTTCGCCTTTCAGAAAGCTAGGATTCCCCTTGAAATCCCAGTTTAGAAACATCACATACCAAGTACACAGCTCTCTGGAAGATGCTGGTGGTTTCCAAGATTTTTTGCATTGTTATGGTTTCTAGATCATCAGGATCCAGCTGCTCTTTTTGAAAAGGCATTCCGTTAAACAGCACAATAGGGAGAGGGCCCACACCTGTCTGCTCATAGTACCCTCTGCCTTCCTGATATGAAAAGAAAAAAACATATATAAGTACATTATCTTATTACTGAACAGAATTGTGTGCCTTCACTGTAACACTTAACAACGCTGATGAACTCTACTCTGAACATTCTTCCAAGTAAGGTACTATAAGCTTTACTACAATTTACATATTCTGTAGATATATTAAATATAGAAAACATCAGTTTACAATACCCCTTGTGCTCAAGACTCATCTAGACATCAGGATTTCAAAACAAAAACATTAAGTGTACTTCTTTATAGTGCCAAATAATAAATCAACTTGTTCCATTAAACCAGTACCAAAAATTTATGATTTACTGTGCATGCAGGTAAAAAAAGCAGTTTTAAAAGCTGCATATAAATGGTTCCATATCTGCACTTGAGCCATAATCTCATGTAGAATTAATGACAAGAAGAGAATGCACTCTCTGAAGTCCATGTATAAATCAGTTCAACAATGATGGCATATATGACAGAGCAAAACTTTTTAAAACACTGTTCTTTGCACTCCTATGAAAACGCATTAACAAGTATATGTCATTAAAGACAACATGTCTCTCTATTGCATTTAACCATCTTATGGTCCCTTTTTATTATATTTAGTAATCCCAAAGCTAATCCAGTACTGTGACCTTAGAACATCTCAATGCCACGCGGCAAGGGGGTTCCAAGAATATCCTGATACTGGTATGTACATTTTGGTTCACAGATGAGTATCACGTGTGTTCTTAAATGAAAGCCAGGCATTAATACTGTTACGAAACATGTGTACAGATACTATGCAAGGAATGTGTATACCCTGAAAATATGCACCAATAATCTGTATCAAGGCAAATATGGAGACAGTATATTCACCTCTTTCAACATGTTAAACACTAAGCCAATACAATGGCAGCCCAATTTATGTATGAAATCAATGGGGGGGGGGAGAGTCTCTAACCAACAGGGAGGCAGCACAGTGCACAAGGAGTTACTCTGATTCTGGGGTACAGACACTTTGTGGGACAGAACAAGGAAAACACCCTTTTATCCAAAGCCTTAGAAGTAATCAGAAGTGCAATTTTGTTAATTAAAACACGATCTCAACCTGCCCTGGCAGAAATGCTGTGAATGACTTTTGGGGTGAGATGGAGTTTTTAGAAACCATGTCATGGTTTTATTTTATAGTTAACCTTCTTCTTTCCACTATCCTTTCTGTGGTATCTTGAACCTCTGATAATAAACTTACATGATTTTTCCCTAAGTATCATGGCTGAGCTGAATCATTCAAGCTGGTGTGTACATTGTCACCTTGAGGACAGCAGACGCAGTTGAGTGTCCAGTGTATAAAAGGCTAGACACTTCAGGGGAATAGTTCAAAGGGGTTCGGGGATTGAGGTGCACCCTACTGTTAACCTGCAAGACACAATAACGGCTGGCACAGCTCAGGGGATTTGGGCAGCTAGCAGGCTGGTGGTTTTAAGGAGCTGACAGCCAGTTATGCACAAACAAGTGTCCCTCTCACTGGAGTAAAGGGGGTACTCTCAGGCCTGAACAGTGTGAGAACTGTCACAAGCACCTCTCCCAAAACAGGATCTTCTTTATGTAATACTTTCAGCATTGTCAGACAGAGCAGATATTTACCAAAACCATCTTAGTGTTTTTCCTTTCATCCCTTTACAACAGGGCTAATCAAGGTTAAAAGTTAGGACATGATATCCTTTGAGCAGAAGATCTTGCAATTTTTAAGATCTGGTCTCAATCTCCAGAGTCAGGTAAAACCTCTTGCAATGATTCTTTCAGCATATATATATATATATATCTCCCTCCCTCCCTCCCTCCCTTTCAGAGACTAACATTTTTGTATATAAAAAGGGCTTTGCTTGAACATCCAAATCCAGTAATTAAGTATTTTTTGTGAGGGGAAAAAGTTGAATGGGGCAGAAGCACCTAGTCCAGTAGGGATACAAAGAACAGCCCAGTTTCATGGCCTAGCTTGATTTATCATCATCTCTGCAACCTTTGAAAGTTTTAGACAGCAACTGCCTTCCCCAGTGCTTCTGCTTTAAGCCTCAGAATTTTGAAAGCCACCATTCCAATCTGCCAAAAGAGGCATCCCAATTATGGTGATTAGCGGATACCATTTACTTGTTTTAGGGAAATCCTGCCCATGGCTGCCCTGCCATGCCCTGGGTCAGTCAAGACCTGGGGGGTAGGGGAATGCGTGAAGTAATTTGCTACTCAAAGCAGGCTGACCGCTCCCTCCGCCCACCAGAGTGCGGGGTGCCTTGGGGGAACCACCAGCCATTTTGAACAGTGAATGACTTTGCTTACTTCCCCACCGGCAGGTCCCAATTGGCCTGGGGGTAGAGGAGCGTGTGAAGTCTTCTCCCCTTGCCTAGAGGCACCTAGAGGGAATCACCATTGAAAACGGCTGCTGGTTCCCTCTAGGTATCACGTACCCCTGGCGGGGACGGATGGTGGGGGGAAAGACTCTAACTGGCCAGGAGGTGGGGGAGTACACAAAGTCTCCTTCCCCTGCCTGGGCATACAGTGCCAGAGGGAACCGCCCCTTCCACCCACAGTCCTGCTCTTTTTGGGGCAGATATGGCCTGCCACCACAACCCACAATTCATGAAGTGGCCCCCTGCAAAAATTATTGCCCACCCCTGCCCTACTGGTTAACCGGAATCAGGTCCCCATTAACATCCCCAATACTCATAGTACCTGTTTATTAAAAATGACCTCAGTCCCTATTTGTGCATGTGAAGGACACATTAGTTCTCTGGTGTAATAGGGCAGAGCTCATTATTACTAATGTGACGAGGAGTCCTGTGGCACCTTATAGACTAACTGAAGTGTAGGAGCATAAGCTTTCGTGGGCAAAGACCCACTTCGTCAGATGCATGCATGCATCTGACGAAGTGGGTCTTTGCCCACGAAAGCTTATGCTCCTACACTTCAGTTAGTCTATAAGGTGCCACAGGACTCCTCGTCACATTAGTAATAATGAGCTCTGCCCTATTACACCAGAGAAAACATTATTTGGCAGCTTCATTCTGGGAAACTTTTGCAAGTTTTTCAAGTGAGAGTTCCACTGTGCTCAATATCCTGGCTGAAATCATATTCAGTAAATGGTATATTAAACCAGTGGAGCACCAGGACAACAATGCTTCATCTCACAAATTTCTTACCTTCCTGTTTTGATCATAAGCAGAATCAATCCCCAGAATGCTGTTCACTTCTACATAAGGGTACTGCTTCTCCAGAACACTAACCACATGTTCAACCTGCAGCTGATCTCCAGTTTTTACTTTGTTGTATATCTGTGAAGGAAAAGCAAATGCATATTTATAGCCATGACTGATTTTTCCCCCCTTTCTTTCACAAACACAATAGCTATATTCCAACTTCTAATATAGAATATTTATGGTGTCTTATTTATGCGATAATAGATTATGTATAAATGCAAGCCAAATGATAAATATTGCTAGTCTTGAAAACTAGCCTGCAATACTTCCATGTAAGTATTTCCTAACCTCAATATCGGCCAGAATGGCAATCATTTCTCGTGATTCAAAATCTTTTCAGAAAACATGTAAAGCATGCTTTACATGTAAATCTCAAAGGCATGCTTCTCTGTAGTATAGTTTCAGGGTTTTTGCTTACAACCTTTTGTTTACAGGAGGCTGGCATTGCCCTTTTTTTTCCATTTTAGTGTACTATATATCATCTCTTTGATTTCCAACTAATCATTAGTGTATGAAAACAAATCTGAGGAAAAACAAAAAGCAAAAGTCTGAGGCCTCTAACAATTTAACTCAATTAAAAAAAATCCACCTTGTTATTATTTTAAGTTAATATGAGCGCACAACATAAGCTTCAAAGGAAAAATTATCTGGCAGGAGTGGCAGTCTCTACTAAAGAAAACCAGAGATCTACAACAGTAAGTGGCATAGCAGGAGAGGACTGAGATGCTGGGGCAGAACTAAAGAATGGGAGGTAGGGTGACAAAAACTTGCATAGGGCTGTCAATCCTCATTTTCATTAGCAAAATTTTTACCAACAAAATTTTAAAGAGAAAAGGTGTTTTTACAAAGTGAGCTTCATCAGATAGTAGAGTCTCAGATTTTCAGAAATAAGATTTTTCTTATTACCCTATTAACACAGACAGTCTCTCTTGTACAACAGATCGTCAATGTGCACATGAACACTTACAGATATAACAGTCTGGAATGCATAATTAGTATCCATTTCTTGTGAAACATAATTAAATGCTCTAAGAAGAGCAACCCCAGCATCTTGTAGCCCATCAACATCTTCGGAGTCATTAACCACAAACACCAAACCAATCCTGTGAAGAGAACATGAACCTGTTATGCAGATAAAACCTCAGTGAAGATTTTATTTATTTGTATAACAGCCAATGATTATAAAGATCTTATGCAAGAGTTCTTGTAGGTATGTTAATAAGCAGACTTGAATAACTAATGCAGGGACTCTACAGAACATTCCCCAGGGCTCTCCTATTCTAATCCTTTCATGTCCTCAAGTCAATCACGTTTTGATAATTTTGTTCTCCTTTTTCCCCTACTGTTTTTTGCCTTCTCCATTTTCTTTTGTTCTGTTGGAGGGATTGGCTTTCCTGGGCCACTTTTAACAGTTGAAACTTCCTACAACATTCCTGGTGGCTAAAGATGAACACTTTTTAATCATCATAAAATCCACAAAAGCTACACCAATGCCCTCTCATGAAAATGTAGCATTACCTCAGTGGGATGTGGTTGCTGAAGAACATCTCAGCCACATTAAGCAATTCTGCTGTACTCTCATGGGACGGATCCACTATAAGAACCTTTGGGTAATTACAAAATAAAGGTTTTTACATTAGTTT